AATAGAACATAAAAGGCAATGAAAGGACACCATAAATAAAATCTATAATAGTGTATAAAAGCATGAAAGAATGCCATAATGGAAATAGTATAAGGGTGTATTATAAGCAAGTTGGGATGATATCAATGAAAATAAAGGTTAGGACTAAAAAGATAAATGCTTGAAGAAAAATATATAGAAAGATAGGTATGATAGGCATACTAACATAGTTAAGATAATTGAGAATAAAATACAATTTAAATAAGGAGGATCATAGAATCCTTAAGGAATATATGATTTAGTACAAATTAAATAGAAAGGACATACTTATATATATACAAAAATGTTACTTTATAATTTTATGTATCACTAAGTAAATACTTAATGTGTGTTGTTTCCACGTGTAGGTAAAAATGGAGATAAACTGAGTAAGGAGTGTAGTAGTAGCAGTGAGTATCATTAGTTAAGGTTGACTCTCATCAGTAATGGTAGGACAATCTTATTCAATTTAAGAACTTAGTTGTCATGTAATTAAACTATGGTAAACATTTTGTAATGTAATTAAGTGAAGATTTTAGTATGTTGCTTTAACAAAATATCTTATTTTGTGGTTGATGGATTGGAAACAAAATTTTACGGGTTTCAAATGACAAATATTATTTTTAAAATGATGTGACATCCATATCTTGTGTACGGAAAGGTATAAAGGAGATGGGTGTTACAGACAATTTCTGTTTTGATGAATTGAGAGACAAAATTAGGGTTGTTCCTTGATAATAAACCAGAGTTGAGGGCACTGTCTTGGGCTATAAACTCTTAATATAAATCGTTAGGAATAGTAACACCATTTTCATCAACAATATTCATGGGCATATGTTTCAACATTTCGGTTAACATCCGCTCAACATGATGACTACGAACAGTCAACAACACTTGTTGTTTCCAAAAAAAATTGTGCCGTTAAGGATAATATTCACCTTTTTGTTTGTGAATGATTTAGTAGTAGTTACAGAAAACTCCATCAGTATCTTTTAGCAAAAGATAAGATGAGGAATTTCTTGAGAACAAGTATAAAATGATAGAAATATTCTCATATTATGAATTAATTTAATACAACGAATGCACACACTTATAAAGTTTTTATTTACACAATTGCATGCAACATACTACCTAACCATTCTTTAACAACTTTTCTTAACTGCCAGCTAACTACCTAGCTATAACCAACACAATCTATATGTATACACATGAAACTCCTAATAGGGAACCTCTACTTAGGGCTTCATCCTTGTCATATTCTTGATTTCTGATGAGTTCGTCTTTGGAAGTTAACTCGGTTTCCTCTCCGTAGGGTAACGTCCTTATCCTGACTATTGTTTTTTTATTTTTGACGTATCTTAAGGGGTCTCTTTCTTCCCTTAATATTCCTCATTTTTTTATCTGTAATGAAAGGTAAGGTTGTGAGAAACTTTGTAAGATTTTTCCAATGATAAATATTTGTTTTACTGATATATGATTATCATTTTATTTGATGTCATATTTGGATTATTTTTATACTTATATTGATAATTATTTGTACTTAGAGGGAATATTGAACTCTTAGGTTACTCTGTTTTTGTTTACATTTTCAGATTATCTAGATGTATATCTGGTTTGACTATTGGAAGAGCAATCTCTATTTTTTACTCTGAGGTTAAATATTTGATTTCAATATATTTTAACTCTGTCATGAGTTTATTTATGAATTTATTACTTGTAAGTATTTTAAAGTAAATTATTAAACAATTTTTCATCTATAAACCCTTTATAAGGTAAGTGTGGCTACCCTTATTCAGTGGTATCTCCTAGGCCGAGTCTAGGAGGTTACATTTATTGGTATCAGATCTGATGATTAAATTCTAGGGTTGTGTATACCATAAAAATTTTAAAAACTTAATTGAAATAAATTTACAAAAGGATTTTTAGACAAGTATGAAAAAATATTTTTGAACGAAATACCATGCCTTATGATTTTTTAGTATTTTCTAAAACTCTCGAGGCTTCGATACCATTCTAGATAGCTACAATTTTTTTTTTGTAATCTTAGTTTGACACCTCATATAAATTCATAAGCCTGGTATAAATATATGATATTGTTTAGATGCCTTAATTGAATACTTTTGTTGTAAGATATTAACTCTAGTGACTAATCGTTAGTTAATTAGTAATCGTTATTCAAATTTATAATATTTTATAAATTCGATTTAAGTGAATCAATTAGATAATTATAATTTTGACCGATTTGATCTGAAATCTAAAATTTATTCTTGATTTTATCATTTAAAGAGAATTTTTTCATGTATGGTTTTTAGCGTTATGTTCAGTTTTATACAGGAAAATTATGATCGAAACCTCTAGATCTGTTATGAAATATTTCGTAATAAGTAGTTAGTATGGATCATATATGTGATGTAATTAAATATTCCTCCATGTTCATTTGTAATAGTGAGTTATTTTAAAATTTTGGTTTTATACGATAAATTGAGTATACGAATGGACTCCTATAATAACTCTACATATGATCTTGTTTGAATTCTCATTCAATCACATCATGATTAATTCTAAAAATAATGTTTTAGCTAACGTTATATTTGTAATCCTAGATCTATTAAAGATTAATGTAATGTTTTATATTTTGAAATGGAAAATTATTTTCGTCTGAATTAATTGATTACCTCAAACTCTTTGTAAATCAATTTCAGTGTTTGTTAATGATTCTCTCATTCAGTCTAAAAATATGTTCTAAAATTGAAAGGACATAATATTTGTACCACTCTGATTTAGTCTTTCTTGAGGAAAATGAACCAATTCTAGAATATTCTATTAATGGTCACTACAAGAAAATATACCTTTAATGACACACGAACAATGACACACGCTAATTTATGACTTGCAAAAAATGTGTTTCATAAAATATGTCATGTTTTTTAAAATCTGAACGATTTATGACTTACAATAATGTGTATCATATTTAATAATCGTAATCCAAAAAATTTGTAAAAACACGGAGTACACTTTTAATTGTGTGTCATCTGTAAAAGTCATCTTTTAATCCCCCCCATTATTTTCATCTTTTCCCACTTCTTCCCCCTCGATAATAAGTTCACACCGCATGCTTCCCCCCTTTTTCTCTTTCTCCCTTTTTCTTTTTACAGTAGTCCACTGGTTTGGCCATTCACCACAACCCATCCTTCCCCCCTTTTTCTCTTGTTCCTTATTTCTGAATAGGACTTTTGGTGTTTCTAAACAATGGTGCTATTTAGGGCGAACTTGAAACATATTTTTTCACTGAATATGGAGAGGGAAGCCGATATCAAATTCATGAGATCATTGGGAAAAGAAGTTATGGGTTGTTGCTTCTGCGATTGAAAACCACACAGGTGAAAATGTCAGTGCTTTTCAGAATGCTTCCCTAACCTCACCTCTTAGTTGTATTTGCTGAGTTTTTTTCCTTCCTATTGCTACAACAAATGTATTCCATCGATATTTAAAACCAAAGAACATCCTTGCTAATGCTGATTGTGAGTTGAAGATATGTGATTTTGGGCTTGCCCGAGTATCATTTAATGATTCCTCATCAGTAATTTTTTGGACTGTATGTTGTTCTTTCATTAAATCTTGAAGCTTTCGCTTTCATGCTTCCTTAGTATTTCTCAAATGGATTAATTTACTTTTAAAAGCTCCCCTCATTACATTGGGCAAGCCTCCAAAAAGGTTGTGCTAACTAATCTAACTTATTTAATCAATCTAGGACTATGTTGCAACCCGTTGGTATAGTGCTCCTGAACTCTATGGATCTTTTTTCTCCAAAGTAAGTTCTTTTTAGTCTTCAATATATTAGGCTTTTCATCTTGATATTCATATTTTCAGTTGCTGAGATCACTAAAAACGTAGGAGAAATATTTTTTGTTTCAGTAACCTAGTCATTATATGTGTATAATATATTACTTTAAGTTCTCAAAATATTTTGACTCCCCTGGTATTCCCCTTATATTTTCTATGGAACAGTTAGTTGTTGGTATTTATCCAGAGTATAGTACTTGTTTGGATTACTACTCATTAACTTAGCAGTAAAACCACATTATGCATTTTTGTTTACTTTTTGATGGATGTGAATTTCTTTTAACATCCTTCGTGCACATAACCAATTCTTCACTGTGTGTAATTGATGTGTCAGTTGCACGTTAGTAAGTTCTTGGAATGGTTTAAAATGAACTTTTCATCTTTGAAGTAGTCCATACTAGATTGCTTTGCACATGTCAGTTAATAGTTTTCCTTATGTAGAATTTAAGTTTGTTGTATTATGTAACTTGGTTGTCGGCCATTTCTGTAATCACCACATAATATTTTTTTCTACATCATTTTCTAGAAGATATTCTTAAAGCTGATCTTGCAGCTTTAAGAATTTGTATTGTTGTTACTGTAATTTGGAATAAGGAAGTTAATACCTGGAAATTGTTAAAGGTCATTAATCATTTTGATCAATAGGTTTATTCTCTGTGTTCTCAAATCAAATCTCTTCTAATTAAGCTCATGGAATTGATCGTATTAGCAAAGTATACGTGCTAAAGAAAAAATATTATGAGCTTTTCATTAGTTCCATCTGTATTCAGATATGGTTTTATATCATGCTTTGTTATCATGAATATTTAGCCACTTTTAATGTTATTGGTGCACCTATCATTATTTTCATGTGCCTTATTGTTATCACTTATTTTTATATCTTTTGAACATGAGAAGTGCAGCATCTGAACTTTCATTTGTGCTTGATGTATATAATTATATAAGTATGTTTATTAGAATATAATTGTAATTTCTGAGTCTTAATCCTTTGTAGTACACTCCTACAATTGATATGTGGAGTATAGGTTATCTTGTTTCTTATATTTCACTTGATTTATTTTCACTTCAACCTGACGCTGATTTCAAGCTTTGTTACATAGATTTTAATTGAGAGATTAGATACTGATCACTCACTGCTTAATTTATCATTACCTGGCAGATTAGAAATGAAAAGGCAAAGAGGTACCTTAGTAGCATGCGTAAAAAGCCACCATTTCCTTTCTCACAGAAGTTCCCTAATGTGGATCCCGAGGCTCTTCGCCTACTTGAGCTCTTACTTGCATTTGATCCAAAAGATCATCCCACAGCTGAAGAAGTAAGATTGAGAATTCCTAGTATTTAATTTTTCTTTCAAAAGCACTAAAAAGGAAAAAAGGTATGCATACAATAGATAACCCTAAAATTTACAAAAAAATGGGGTTTCATGACAGAAGTTCCCTAATGTGGATCCCGAGGCTCTTCGCCTACTTGAGCTCTTACTTGCATTTGATCCAAAAGATCACCCACAGCTGAAGAAGTAAGATTGAGAATTCCTAGATTTAATTTTCTTTCAAAAGCCTAAAAAGGAAAAAAGGTGCATACAATAGATACCCTAAAATTTACAAAAAAATGGGGTTTCATGCTAACATTTTTTTATATTCAAAAAACATAAAGGATATGCTTCCTGTAGAATTGAAATCCATGAATGGGTGATCTTGAATGCTACAAATTTTGATTTGATGTTTTGTCAGCATCATTTCATCAAGATATGATAATTTTTCTCGTCATTGGCTTTAAATCAACTACAAATGATAAATCTAACAGTTGGATCATGACTTACAAGCTTCTGATATTCCTAATGGTGTTGTTCTACGCTGGCAGGCATTAGTTGATCCATACTTTTATGGTTTAGCAAATGTGGATCGTGAACCATCCACTCAACCTATTTCGAAATTAGAATTTGAGTTTGAGAGAAGGAAATTGGCAAAAGATGACGTTAGAGAGCTGATTTATAGAGAGGTACTCCACATTTGTTACTTAATGTCCTTTAAAAAAATCCTCTTGTTTCTTAATATGATGTCTAAGATTGTCCTTATGCAGTTTAGATACAACTTAGTAAAGTAATACTTTTTGATTGGATTTGCAGATCGAATCCTCATTTCATGTTATGTAGTGCTTAAGCGAAATATAGGGGGTGGGGGTCTGGAAATTCTAAATTCCAGTTGATAACATTTTCTTCTAGCATTGCAAATAACATTATTCTTTTTCTTTTTTCAATCAAATAGTGTCGTTGAGTGATTCAAACGACAATTTGTACATTTATAGAAGCATTATGGTAAAGGTGAAGGAAGTACTCCACTTCTAAGACTTCATGTTTTTTTGCTTAGGTATGCTTCATAAAATTTTAGGAATCATGTTAGTTCCATAATTTCTCCGCCAAACTTAGTCTATCTAGCTCATGTGTCATATTTCAATTTGCCTGAATATCGTCTTTACAGAGAGCGCGTTCTTTCTCCCAATGATGAGAATGATCAAGTTGATGGTGAGAATAACGTTGCTTCAATGACACAATATAGTTCAGAAAGCGCTAGTTCTTCAATGACACAATATGGTTCTGAAATACAAGTTGCAAAAGCACTGGAAGCTTAGTTATGGTATCTGGCTTAATAGTATGCAGAAGGTATGAATTGAAACTTGGAAGAATTGTATTGCACTTAGTAGTTCTCTAACTTATCAAAGTTCTGTAGAATCTTAACTAGCTAACAGACTCAATAGTATGCAATGAATCTTCCAAGTTGTGTTTTTTTGCTATGTAGACAAGGTGTGAATTTTTCTGTTTTCGACTTCACACCACATAAGATGTACAAGTATGGAGCAAATGGTGAAACTGATGATATGTTGGAATACCATGCTACTTTTGATTTTTCACAAGACTCCCCTTTAGTAGAACTTGATGATGATTTCTTGTGTACACGCCCGGATGGCAAGGGCATATTAGTATAACTTTATTATACCGTGATATTTTGTATCGACATATGATTAAAATATTTTTGATAACTTAATGTGAATATATTGTATGCAAATGGATTGCTTATATAAAATATGATATATATATTTAGTATTATGAGGCATTAAATGTGATTTAGTTTGATTATTTGTCAATCTACAACATATATATATATTTAATTTACGAAATACAATCACGACACACAAATGTGTGTCATGTTTTTTAATGACGTGTGCTTCAATTACACGCAATGTAAGTCATACATGAGTGTCATAAATTTATGACACACAAATGTGTGTCATCTTCATTTATGACGGGGGCTTCAATGACGCTCAATGCGCATCATAAATGTCAGTCATAAATGTGTGTCATAAATGCGCGTCATCTGATATTTATGTCGGTGGCTTCAATGACGTGAATTTGTGTGTCACCTGAACCCATAGATGACGTGCAATACGCGTAATTAAAGGGGTTTTTTCTAGTAGTGGGTATTATTATCTCTGTATTTTATGCTCATTATTCTAAACACTGTGTATAAGTTATGAAGAATTTTTAAAAGAGATTCGACAGAAAACCTTGTGCATCAAATATAAATTATATGTTATTTTCAGAGGAAATATAGGTTTGATTGATGTGTAGTAAAGTGTGCAAAAGAGTTATGAAACTCTATAATATATTTTAGTGAAACGAATCAACTTTAACTACTATTACAGAGGTAAAAATTTCCAACATCAGTTTCTGTTTGATTTACTATAATCAATGCATATTTCGGAGAGAAAAGAGAGGAGAGTAATTGTCAACTTTGTCAGTGATGCATTTTAAGAAGGATTCAGTCTATGTTATTGTTGACCCTCCTACTAAGTATGTCCACTTTATTCCAGGTCAAAACTAGTATACTTGATAAAAAGGTGAATCTTCACGAGGTTCTCTATCTATTGTTTATAATTGAGACTAGAGATTTATGTTATGGTTCTGGAAGGCTCCTTAAGATTCTGGCTACTTAAGGAAATTTTAGCATAACTCATCAAATTCCCCCTCACTTATCCAATGCTTATCCTTAAGCATGTTTCAACCCAATATGTTAACATCTCCATTTACCATCCATAATATTACCTTATATATACAAAAATATCCAAGTCAAGTCCATAACAATGATTCAAATCAAAATATCAAGAAAGTGGAAATAATAAATAGGATAAAGTTAGGAAAAATATGACATCCCATTAATCTATCAATATCAATACTACAAAATTCAACACCCTCACAAGGACTTACTCAATTTGTTTAAAGTTTTTCGGGTCTAAAAGCTCTCAAAGCCATAATAAAACATAATATTACCATAGGCTTATAAGAAAATCAAGTATTCACCACTACATACGAGCAAGATGAAAAAATTAAAGGGTCTTTAAATGGTTGTAATTAGGCTTAGGGAAAGGTAGGATGAATGTAATAATATGGGCTTATGATCAAGGCAAGAGACGTACATATAATTCAATCAAGTCCACTAGATAGACAAACTAAAGCAATTGAGAAATGTAAAAAACTTCAAACAACAACTTTTTTTTAACTTTTTTCTTTTATTTTTGATTTTTTCTTTCGAACCTTTTTAAATTTTTGTCTATTTTTTCATTGAACATTGATAGAGTAATATGTTCTCTTTTCCTAACAAGGGTAGAAAAGAGAGATAAATTAAAGGCTCAAGTTTCAAAATAAAATAAAACAAAGAAGATAAAATTGATAACAAATTTCTAACTAGGGAAAATGAATGGGTAGGTAATTTTTGAGGTGAAAAGTGGGTAAATCCTAAGTTCCCATATCATATTAAAGCATCATGTCCAAATGTAGTCTCAACATGCATTCAAATACAAGTTCCAGAATATGGATGCTAAGTTTGACACACTTAATCAAATAAGAATATCAACAAAAATTGTAATGAATTACTCTTTTAGGCTCAAATCTTACCAGAATGTGTAACATGCATTAAGTCAAGTGCATTTCAACAAATAAACTCATGGGATATTAGAAAACATTTCAAGAAAAAAACTAATCATGCCATACACTATCATGTATCCTAATTCAAATAAAAGTGTGTTCCCAAACTCACAAAGTATTCTAAGATATTTAGCAAAACTAGGGATGTTCAATAGAAAACTTAAAATACCTAAATTTACCATGCTAAATTCCGAGCACATGAATATTAAAGGGAAAATTAGATTAAATTATCTAACTCCTCAATTAAAATGTATTGTCCCAACACGAAAATGTAAAGCATAAGAGAAGGGATAGAAGTACTCCTCGTATCATCGACGACATCGACCTTGACCTCAGCGAGGGATGGTCAGGTTAAGGTAAGAAAAGATCTCGATAATATTTGATTCAATCATGTTGTGGTGGTTGTGCACTTCATTTATATGGGTCTGTAGGTCTGGGCGTGAGGCTCTTGGACTGGTGGCGTTGTATTCCTCCAAATGTAGACACACTCGCTTCAAGGGGTCATGGTGCCCAAGGGAACGAAGTCAGGTACAACAAGAGTGCCAACAAGTAAATCAATCATATTTAAGAAATACACAACTAATGTATCCATAAAACAATGAAAGTGTAAAACCCAAAATTTTGGTTAGTGCCCAAAATGTAAAATTGAAAGTTTAATGGCCAAAGTATAAAATTTGAAAAGTTAAGGGACATTAGTGTTTTTTCCAAATTTTTTTATTCCATAAATGGATATTTTAATCTTTATATTGGGGTTTTATTGATATTTGATCCAGAATTGGTGCTAAAAACTAGAAAGTGTTAAAGTCTGGTAAAAATTAGGTAATCGTATCGAATAGAAATTTTAAGAAAATTTGAAGGATGATAAATTAATCTTAGAAATATTATTTCCACATTTTAAAATGATGGAAAATATTATGGAGTACTATATTTGAGAAATAATTTCTATATTTATCTTTCTCCTTCATTTCGTGGCCTTAATGCCTTAGGTAAGAGAATTTATATTTTTCATTTTTAAGCCAATTTATTAGGTTCTTGAATTAAGACGTGAAATATAAAATTATTCTATTCGATAAGCTCTATCGTTTAGTGCCATTATTGCATGCTAATCTTTCTTGAGTTCAAAGATCCCAAATTCTAGTGTTTATGGAATTGATGATGGATTGTGATGTTTTTGAGCTCATAGAATAATTTCCAAGTTTGTTATATGATAAATCATGATCAAACTTCCTAGAAATGCATTTGGTAGTTTTGGTCTAACCCTAAAAATTAGTGAAAGTTATGATTTGATGAAATTTGATTATGGCTTTGATTGTAGAGATTTTATAAGGTTGCTTAGAGGTTGATTTCATTCTCGAATCGAATAAAAACCAAGTGAAATCACAGAACCCTAGATGTGAACTATTCGACCTTGGATTTTGAGGATGAGAAAAATTATGTAGGGGTTAAAATGATGCAAGAAGTATTCTATAAGCCTTAGAAAATTTTGGGGACTATTTTGTAATTTTATGAAAGTTGGGGAACCTATTTGAAAATTATGGAAAATTATGGGATATATTTTAATGGTTAAATAGTTGATGTACTATGATGGTAATTAATGTTTGAGTGTTGAAATTGATTTTAGAATGTGAAGTTGGATTATTTTGGGAAGTTGGTAAAAGTTCAGGCTTAAATAAAAATATAAAATGTTTTATGAAATTTGGATTGAAAAGGACTTGAATGGTCAATTTGAAGTGTTATTGTCAACAATTATGTTGTGACATGGAATTAGTATCAAATGAGCATCGAAAGAATTTTTGAGACATTATTTTCTATTGTGTGTCTATGTTAGTAAGATTCTAACATGTGGTTTGAATTTGTATATGTTTGAAATTATGATCATTTACATTGTGTGCTTGAGATCAAGAACAAGAAATATTAAAGCTTAGGAAATGCTTAAGGATGGAATGTGAAATTCTACGGAAGGTTTACAAGCAAAGGACACCAGGTGACTGTAAAATTAATTTGTACTAATGTTATCAAACAAAAATTGCCTTGCAATGAGCGAGTGATGAAGTTACTATAGTAAGTAACTCCTATTTGTGTAGTTGTTTTTATAACAAATAAGCATATACTAATTTTGAGGAGTATACAAAAATATATGAATTTTTAATTGAGAATAGGTTAGAAAATAGGGTAGAAGATTCTGCTCAAAACAGATTCTATAAGTCAACTTTGAAAATTCATTATAAATTGTATAAACTGAACTAGAATGAGTGTCTTATATGGTTAGATTCGTATTCGAGTATAGTTCCTATTGGTATAAACGAAATAATTTTTGAGGATATATATTAATACAGAATTATATTTCCTTGAAGGTAGTACAAACTACCAAGATATGAAATTGTGATAAATTTGGGATAGAACAAAAATAAAAACAAATGATCAAGTTAAAGCTTAGTGAGGCTTATATTGGATATTATATATGATGTTTATCATTCATATATATATATATATATATGATGTTTTTTAGGGTATGAACTATCCATTGTGAAATTATATGAATATACTTTGCCATGAATGAAAAGAATAATTATGCACTATATGCCAAGTATGTCATTGAGGGTCACTGGTAATTATGGCATGCCATAGATTTTAGCAGCTGCATATCATA